TTACACTTGAGCCTAAACCAACCAGCCTTGATTAAAGTTCTCAAAATACGGGGCATCCTTTTAAACACCAAACTAATTAATATTTAGCAGTAATGTTTTAAGCTTTCCTTTCCTTAATAAAAGACCTAGTAGAGCGGAAATCTCCTGCTCTGGAGTCAGGCCTGGGTGGGCAGTGCTCTGAGTCAGGCCTGACCCTGGTAGCAGGATTAGAGGTGTGGCACCTAAGGGGAGCCCAGGTGCTTCAGAACATAGGCTTTGCAAATTCATGCTCATAGAGTGGGGCCTGGCCACACTTTCCTCTCCTTGCCACTACTGCTATAAATGTTAGCACAAAATCTTCCTCAAAAACACCCTGGAGGAAAACTTTTATTGCCCTCAGAAATGGATCTAATACTCAAAGTTACTTTTTTTTTAAAAGTTTGAAAAGTTTATATGACTGTAGAGAGAAACAATTGTTTACTGAATTCCAAACTATGTATCAGGCCCAATGTGTTACTCTCTTACATGCATTATGCAAAGTTTTTCAGAATGTTTTCTGTGTAAATAGCCCAGAATGATATGCAAAAAATGGTCCTTTTAGGAAATCTTAAAGACAATATAGCCTAGAAATATGCTTCCAATATAGTTCATATTGAAGGTTCTTTTAAGTCTTGCAGTAAAGAAAACTGTTTATGTTCCTTTAACTCAGTATCCCAAAGTATATATTCGAATGTGTGATGTATGAAATGGTTTTAGAAAGTTCATAAACGTAGGTTTTAAATTTTAATAGTTATACATATTTAATGTGCATTAGAAATAATATAGCGAGCACATCAAACCTGTGACGGCACATATATTGTTCAGCATTCATTCATTCATTTATTCCATAAACATTTATTGAGGATTCACTATGAGCCAAGCAGTAGTCTAGATGCTAGAGGATATAGCAGTAATAAAGTCCCTGCTCTCATATCTGTTTTAGTAGGGAGTGACAAATAAACAAACAAATAAATGTATTAAACAAATATAAATATATATGCAACAGTAAAAGGTAGAATAAAGAAAAAGAGTTGAGCAGGAGGACAGAAATGAAGGGGTGGGGTGAATAACGGTGTAGATGGTTTGCTCAGGAAAAACCTCCTAGATAATGTGACATTTAAGTGGAGACCTAAATGAAGTGAGAATATATTTCTGCAGTGAGAACATTCTAGGCAGACGGAACACCAAATGCCAGGTCCCTAAGGTGGGGATGTGCCTGGTACCTGGTGGAATTATTCAAAGTTCCAGGGCTGCAGACAAGCCCCCGAAGGATGATGCTTTGTAAAATCAAGGTATAATTCAAATATCATCCTATTCACCCTTTAACAGTGTTTTTCACTTTAAAATTCGATTGAAAATTCAGTGGTTTTGGTATATATATATATACAAAGTTGAATTTTTTTTAAGCAATGATATGGTTCTGGTTCTGGCCAAGATGGAGTAACAAGGACCAGATTTGCCTTCTCACCTGAAACAACCAAAAAACAGACAAAATATATAAAATAATGGTTTCCAAAACACTGTTCAGGCAATGAAGGATGGTGATCCCTGAGAGATGGGACATAAAATAGCTGTGATGCCCAGCTTACTGCCATGAGAAAATTTCCAGGACACAGTGCAGAGAGAGAAAACCCAGAGATAAAGAATGTCATTTTGTAATAATAAAAGGTCAATTCATCGGAAGGATATGTCCATCCCAAACATTTATGCACTTAATAATAGAATGTCAAAATACATGCAGCACAAACTGATCGGAAAAAAAAATAGACAATTCTACAATTATACTCTGAACTCCAACATCCCTCTCTTAGTAATAGAACAAGTAGACAGAAAATCAGTAAAGATATAGAAGACTCAGACAACACTGGCAACCAACTCGATCTAATTGATATTTATAGAACATACCACCCAATAACAGCAAAAAACACATTCTTTTCATGTGCACATAGAAGATTTACCAAGATAGATAGATATCTCGGGCCATAAAACAAGCCTCGATAAATTTCAAAGAATTCAAATAATATACTGTATGTTCTCTGACACAATGGAATTAAAATAGAAATCAATGATGGAAAGATCTGTAAAATCCCTAAATACTTGAGAACTAAATAATATATTTCTAAATGACCCAGCGGGTCAAAGAAGAAATCAAAGGGGAAATTAGGAAGTATTTTGAACTGAATGAAAATGAAAACATAATGTATTCAATTTTGTGGAATGCAGCTAAATGAGTAGTTAGTGGAGATTAATAGCACCAAATGAATACATAGGAAAAAAAGAAATATTCAAATCAAAGAGATCAGCTTCCACTTTAAGAAGTTAGAAAAAGAAGAGCAAATTAAATTCAAATAGGCATACAAAAGGAAATAATAAATATAAAAGTAGAAATCAGTGGAGCCAAATGGGAAAAATCAATAGACTCAAAAGTTGGTCATTTCAGAAAATCAATGATATTGATATATCTCTAGCCAGCCTGATCAGGAAGAAAGGGGAAGACACGAATTACCAATATCAGGAATGAAAGAAGCAACCTCACTACAGATTCTATAGATACTGATAGGACAATAAGAGATTATTATGAACAACTTTATGGCAATAAATTTGATAACTTTGATGAACCGAACAAAATTTTGAGACACAAACTAACTACCAAAGCTCACTGAAGAAGAAATGGATCACCTGAATAGTCCTGTATCTATTAAATAAATTGAATTTGTAGTTTAAAATCTTCCTACAAAGAAAACTCCAGGACCAGATATCCCCTTAGGTGCATTCTACTAAATATTAGAGGAAAAAATAATACCAATTTTGTTCAGTCTTCCAAAAAATTGAAGAAGGAATGCTTTCATATTCATTCTACAAAACCAGCATTACTCAACATAAGGAAACTACAGACCAATATCTCTCAGGAACATAGATGCAAAAATTCTAAACAAAATTTTAGCAAATCAAAGCCAACAATATATAAAAGGACAATTCATCATGACCAAGTAAAGTTTATCCCAGGGATGCAATGTTGGTTTAACATTAGAAAAATGAATCAATGTCATTTGTTACACGAACTAAAAAAGAAAAATTATATGATTATCTCAGTAGACACTGAAAAAGCATTTGACGAAATCAAATATTTATTCTCAGTAAACTAGCAATAGATGAGGACATCCTCAAACTAATAAAGGGCATCTATGAAAAAAACCTATAGCTAACATCATACTCAATGCAGAAAGTGAAAGCTTTCTCCTTAAGATAAGAATAAGACAAGTATGTTTTTAGTCAGTGAAATAAGGCAAGAAAAAAGAAATAGAAGCCATCCAGATTGGAAAGGAAGAAGTAAAACTATATTTACTTACAGACATGATCATCTATGCAAAAAATCCAGTGGAATCTATGAAAAAGCTAGAATAAGTGAGTTTAGCAAGGATGCAGGTTACAAGATTAACATACAAAATTCTATAGTATTTCTATATATTAGCAACAAATGACTGAAAACTGAAATAAAAACAATGTTATTTATAATACAGATGTAGGTATAAATCTGATAAAATATGTACTCAAAACTACAAAAAAAAATGATGAGAGAAGTAAAGATTCAAATAAACAGAGATACTGCTCATGAGTAGGGAGACTTAACATTGTTAAGATGTCAATTCTCACATCAATTTATAGCTTCAACATGATTCCAATCAAAATCTAGAATTTTAGAATTTAACTGATTCTAAAGTTCATATGGAAATGCAAAAAACCTAGGCTAGCCAAAATAACTTTGAAAAAGAACAAAGTTGGAGACTTAAGAGTATCTGATTTCAAGACTCATTATAAAGCTACAGTTATGAAAACAGTATGGCATTGGTGTTAAGACAGACACAGATCTAAGAAATAGAATATACAGATGACCAATTTTCATCATGGGTGCAAAGACAATTCAGTGGGGGAAAGGACAATCTTTTCAACAAATAGTGCTGAAATAACTGCACATTCATATACAAAAAAAGAGAACTTTGTTCTATACCTCATACCATATACAAAAATTTACTCGCTATAGATCATAAACCTAAATGGAAAACCTAAAACCATTAAACTTCTAGAAGAAAATATAGGAAAAAACCTTTGCGACCTTGGGTCAGGTGATGATGTCTTAGATACAACACCAAAAGCATGATCCATAAAAGAACAAACTGAGAAATGAGACTTGACGAAAATTAAAAACTCTGGTGTTTGACAGTCGCTGTTAAGTGGATGACAAACAAGCCACAGACTGGGAGAAAATATTTGCAAATCACATATCTGACGGAGGACTTGTATCCCAGCGGTTTTCAAAACTCCCCTCCTAGAATGCCATTGTATGATTCAGACTGTTTAAGACAGGGATTCCGAGTACAAAGTAATAATCAGGAAGAATCTAGAGAAGTGACTCTCTAACTTCAGCATCACCTGGAAGGCTTGTTAAACAGATTCCTGGGCTTCGCTCTCAGAATTTCTGAACAGGTAGGGCCTGAGGATTTTCATTTCTGACAGGTTCCCTGTGATGCTGCTGCTGGCCTGGCTACCACACTTTAAGAACTGCTAATCTGGACCAATTTAGATTAAACTAGAAACACGATGTCAGATGCAAGTTTTTTCCCCCCAAGGGAAAATTACCAAATAAACTATGCTTATTAAGAAATAATATATCCCCCCCCTCTTTTTTTTTTTTTATTAACTAGAGACATCAGTAAATGTTAGAGCTTCTAATCAAGCAAGAAATAACAAACATGGCATCACTGAGTTGGCATGAGTCTAGCTCTGCCTCTTTGTTGAATACACATTTTAGTTTCCATAAAACTGTTCAGAATTCACCCTGGAAACCATGCACGGCCTTGTACCAACTGCCTCATAATGGCAACTTGAAGGAAGCCATCATGCCCCACTGAAGCCTGCCACCTTTCCCTGACCCTCCGTATCTCATGCCCCAGCCCCATGCAGGGCTGCCATCCAGGCCTCACCGTCCAAGATGGCCCATTGATTGTCAATCTCTGTATGTTTCAGGTAGGAGTCCTCGATGGTCGGGTCGTAGTCAGGCACGAAGATCTTCTGGAAAAACTGGATGGTGAGGGCACTCTTGCCCACGCCCCCATCCCCCACCACCACCAACTTATACGTGGGGAGGTTGTCACTGGGGACGGCGCTGGTTGCCATGTTTCTGGTGGGTCAGACCTGGGGAAGCAAGACATGTGTAATGAGGCAGGGGCCTTTCCCTTTCTGACTTAGGGGGAAATATTCGTGGGTTTTCCTGCCTTGTTACAGAGTAATGAACACTCCCAATTATAGAAAGTTTCGAAAATGAAATGCAAAAGAAAATTAAAATGTCACTCCTAGTCCCACCACCCACAGACAATGTTAAAATAATTTATTCAATTATTTATTGAATACCAACTATGTGGTAGGCCTGATCTTGGGGACAGAGTACTACTAGATGCCATGTGGTCTTTAACAAGTACAGCCAAAAGCCATGTCGAAGAAGCTTTCCCACCACTAAACTTCGCCCTATGTACAGGAAAACATGAGGGCGTTAGTCTGAGCAGGGAAAGCACAGAGGTCCACCTTCCTCATCAACTGATCACTGGACGGCAGTGATGAGAAGGATTTGAGGCCGTCTTTGATTAAAGGGAAAGGTTCCCAATAGCTTAGCACCCCTAAGCTCAGGGTGTCGGGGGCCCCTTCCAACTCTCAGAATTCTGTGATCCTAGCTCCTTTTCCTCAGTCTCCTTGACCTTTCTTATACACAAAGTCATGCTAGAATCTTGAGGCATTTGGTCAACCCTGTTCTAGTTGGGGAGGAGGAAGGGGAGGAGCAGGGCTACGTTTTGTTTTGATGATGTTGAGTCCAGCTAAGGCAGTGGTTCTCAAACAGGGGCAATTTTGCCCCCCGGGGAAATCTGCAATGTCTGGAGATATTTTTGGTTATCAAAACCAAGTGGGTGCTACTGGCACCTAGTCGGCAGAGGCCAGGGATGCTGCTCGACATCCTATAATGCACAGGACAGCTCCCGCCCCATGGCCAAGAATCATTCATTCTGAAACATCAATAGTTCCAAGGCTGAGAAACCTCGAGTTAAGGTGGCTAGGAGGGAGCTGGCAATGTGGGCCAGGATTCTCAAGAATAATTGGACCTTAACAGATAAGGGCTGATTGTGAAGAGGCCAAGCAGAGGAGAGTGACCTTTGGAAAGGATGTCACAAAGTGACAAAGAGGAGAGGCAGGCAGGGGAGCATGAAAGGAGCACTTAGAAAAATAGGAGGGAAACCAGGATCTAGCATAATGACGGAAGTCCATCGTTTCCAGAATGAGAGGGATGCCAGCACCAGATGTTAAACACTGGTGTCGTCAAGGGAAAAGTCACCTAGAGAACAATTTGGGGGTTGCTGCCAGGGACCTGAGCTGCTAACTTTGGGTCCTGCCAGGGAGAAGCAATACTACCTCCTGGGAAGGCATGCCTGGGTAGCATGAAAACTGACCCTGAGCCGAGGGGGTTAAAACTTGATCTTACTTCAATGTACTAGAAAAGAAGGAGTCTGCGCAAGTTGGGAGGGGGTAAGGCGCGGTGTGTGTGTGCCTGGTAGCAGGTTGTCAGGCAGCCTACTACCAGGAAGACAATGAACGGGGTGTCCTGTGTGTATTGCTGCTGGGAAGGCCATTGACCTCTCTGAGCCACAGCTTCCTTGCCTACCAGATTAAGGTAGTGGATTTTTACAGTTCTTTTTCAGCTCTAAATGAGTCCTTAAGCCTAGATTTCAATCAAAAGGGTGTTAGACATAAATGTGGATTATCGGGCCACACTGATTTGCATGGGGGTTACAGGCAAGGTCATTGCATAATCTTTGCAGTTACTGGAGCCTGATGTTGACATTTAGGATTTCCCTGCAGTGTGGGGAAGTGAGGGCTTTCAAACACTGAGGGTGAAAGTGAAAATGTGTCCAAACAGAGTTAAGACTACACTTGCATAAATCTATCAAAATTTCAAATGTATATACCCTCTCTCGCAGCTAGAAGGCAAAAATTTATCCTAAGGAGGTATTCAGACAAGTGCACAAAGATGTTAAAAATCAGGAAAAAATGAAAATAACTTAAACTTTGGGCAGGGAGAAGTTAAAGAAAAAGTTTATCCACATAGTGGATACCACGCAGCCATGAGAAAGGATGCTATTCACTAACCTAGAAAACGTTTATTTCATGTATGAGAAAAAAAAAAGAAAAAAGGCTGCAAAACAGCAAGTACTGGTGATTGTACTTCCATGAAATTACCCATCCGTGAACTACATATCTAGATGTGGATCCAGGCATAGAGAGGATTAGCAGGTGGCTGTCTGTAATGCAGGTTTCAGGGCCCTTTCTCGATGTTTCTGTTTTTTAGAAAATAGAAACAAGCATGGGTTATATGTGTATACCAGAAAAGCTCAACAATATTAAAATGCTCCCAACAAAATAAAATGTTCGGGCCACCTGAAAACATGCAATTCACTCTTTCAAGTGGGGATTAAGTTCCTTTGGTGCAGGACAGAAGGCCAGGGAGGTGCCAGCCGCAGCCCCAACAGCTGGTTCCACATCTCCCTACAAAGATGGGGACAAGCTGAGCTTCAGAGCACTGAGCTCTCCCACCTGACAGAGACGGTGATGCAAAGGGGCCAGAGAGGAGCTTTGGGGAGACAGAAATGGGGAGAGAAGGGGAAGGCCGGCTCCCTCTCTCACTTGCCTCTCAGGTCAGGGGCGCACGGTGTCAGCTCCTTACTGCTCCTCCTTAACTGCTGTCCTTGCCGGGCGTGGAAGGTGACACTGGGCCAGGGTGAATGTAAACACGTGAAAGGCTGTTTTTTTAAAGTTCCTTTCCATTCTTTGCTGGCAGCGACGTGAATAAAAAATACTAAGTGGATAGGAAGGTATTGGGAAGGAAAATTGTTTCTCTTGGTTTTCTTCTCAAAGTAAAACGAGATAAGAAATACATCAGTAAACATGATAGAGGACGTGAACTGAACCTTTGAGTCGGTGCTGAGACCACTCACAGCAGAATCACCTGGGGACTTGCTAAAAATTGCCCTCTGCCTGCCATGCAAGGCAGCTGGCAGGAAATGGTCATGTGAGGGCCCCCTTCCTTTCACGGTGCCCTGCACCAGGGGCTGAGCCCCAGAGAGACCACGGGGAGGCAACTGAGAGTTCCAACTCAGCTTCAATGGAACAGGGTTAGAGTGCACAGTTAACACAAAAATTTGACTGGGTTGCTCATGGTGAAAAAAATCTTTAGTGCTGTTCATAACTGATGGGTCAAGTCCGGGCTCCTTCACCAGACAATCGAGGCTGTTGTCACTGTCTTCCGCCCCTGACCTCTCTAGCAGTACCTGTGCTGCAGCCCCTCACACTCCACTCTCTCCCCCAACTGGCTTTGTGTTCTCCCAGTTTGCCCTGTGGCCACACTGAGTCCTCTGCTCACTCCCAGGGCCCCTGGGAGAGCATGCACTCTTAACAGTCCTGGGCCCCAGAATCGCCTCCCCTGGGACTGCCTCTAGCACAGGTTTGAGCCCTGAAGTTCTTAGTACAGAGGCCACCATCACACCTAAAATCTCCTATACATTCATTATGCACAGAAGGGTAGGGAATGCATCTTGTCCCTGTCTGTAGCACCAAAGCCTGGCATAGCACCAGCACGGAGCAGATGTTTGCTGAAGGAACTGGAAGCTCCACACTGGAATTTCTGAACGACTGTCGGACAACTTACTAGCCACAGCCCTGGCCCTCACCATGCAGAGGGTTAAGGGGCAACTCTCACAACCAGAAGTTGGGATTGTCTCCCTTCCTCTACCAAGTCAGACCAGTCACACAGATAAGACCTTTCTGGTAGCAACTGTGAGCCCAGGAAGAAAATAAGGGGTTACTAGGGCGGGAGAATGAGTCCAGAGAACCCCCAATTCATAAAGGCTTTCAGCCAGATCTTCTGTCAACGGGCATGTTTTTCTAGTCTTCAATCTCCCCCCAAATAAACCTTGACTAAATGATGTCTTTGTAAATGTGGGGAGGGCAGTCAAAATGGCAAAGGGCGTACATCGCTCTCTACAAAACAGGCTGTTCTCACGTGGTGTAGAGAAAGATTTTTTTAAAGTCACCACGGGCTATGACAAAAGTCACTACAGTATAAAAAGCTGGTTGGTGGTTAAGGAACAAACTGCTTACATTCACGACACCCCTCTTCTCCAGTCTATTCAACTAGAAAGCATCTTAGAGATCACTCTAGAACGGTAGTTCTTTACCATTTGGGAGTCATGGATGGCCCCTCTGAAGTGCGTGTGGAGTGGGGGTATAGATAGACCTGAGGTTCTCTTTAAAGTTTCCCCACAAATTTTTTGTGCTGGATTCTCTCCTACTGACCAACTGAGTGACCTTGGGCAAGTTACCATTCACAGCCTCAGAGTCTTATTTGCAAGATGGGGTTGGTTAGGAGTCATATTTTATAGGATTGCCCTAAGCATAAAATTTAAATGTATGAAATGTGTCGAGCTCAGAGAAGGTGCTCAAATGTTTGTTCTCTAGTCTTGTTTAGTGTGTGTGTGTACAGGGGCAGGTAATGAATCTGACTCTCCCATGGTTCCTCTGCTCTGAGGCCCCCCCAGTTCCCAGCCTCCTCCCCCGCTGCCATCTCATCTCGGCTCCATTGCAGTCAGATTAAATAGGCCTGTGTGGGAACGACACCCATCATTTAGAACACTGTTTCCATGGGAAATGGCTCTGAGGTTCCAGGCAGCCCCCTCCACTCAGAAACCAACTTTTGGAAGAGCAGCCATTTGGCCACCGAGTGCTGGTTCCTATGGCAACCCCAGCTGAGAGTCCCTCCCAGTCTACAGGCAACCCAAACCCTCACTCCTACCGGAAACTTCTTCCTAAAGGGCAATATCGCTGCCTTGACAATCTTGACATGTGTACGAAAACACGAAGCATCTTTAAGCTGAGCAATAAGCTTCGGTGGCTGCTGTCTTTTGCTCCCTCTCTTCTCGGGGTTAGCACCATCTTGCATAGTTTGAAGTTGTTTCCTGAATGGCAGATTCACCCCCCCAAGCAGCTCAAAAGCTCCATGAGGACAAGAGTCACGTCTCCTCATTCCCTTGCCTCTCACAGGGCCAGGCAGAGCCCAACACATGGAAGGCTCAGGGTCTATCCAATGACTTCGTACTGCCC